GGAGCGGGAGGGTGGGGAGAGGAACTCAAAACTAGGTGGGAGAAGTGCTGTTTGCCTGGGTTGGGTGGGCTTTGCTTTCGGCCTGACGTGGATCGTTCACTGCACTTCCAGTCTCCTCGTGGCTGACAGCTGCGGCTTCAGCAGTGGTGGTGATGATGGACGGCAGTGGCACCCTTACAAAACCAGTTGCTGGAAAGATCTTACTTAAGCAAATGTCTTTCCTTTCTACATCAGCTTGACTGACAGGTGCCACTGGACCCTCCTCTCAACTGTTCCCAGACCAAAAAAACCCCCAAATCTCCCTCTAAGGATGCCTTTGAGGGGACGTCATCAGCATCTATTCTGCTTCAGCTAATTCTGGATGCTGTGCTTATGCACACTTAATACCCTTTTGCAAACCCTGTCAGGGATGTGTCCTGTCCACAGAAGAACCCCTTTTAGCACAATTTGTTGTTGTCCCTTTGACAGAAGAAATATCCTTAGGAGGACAAATAGAGTTTCTAGATACTGCTGTGGGCTGCTAGTGGTAGGCAGTGAAAGAAAACTCCATAATTAGGCTTACATTTATTCTTTAGAAGTCAATTTTCATGTTTAAAAACAAAGTGTAAAATGTGATTGCAAAAAAGCTCTTTCAAACGTTGAGTATTCTACACTGGGTAAAATGGTATTTGCTCGAGTCCTCCCGTGGCTTGAAAAAATGCTTTTGTAGTTGGGTATTGGTGGCATCTACTGTTCCTTCTGTTGTTCATTACAGGCACAAAAGTCCCGAAGAATGCAAAATGCGTCGTTGGGGAACAAATGCCAAGTGCCATACAGAAAACATGGAAACTTGATTGAAAGCCACCTGATGCTTGAATAGGGTTGTGGAAAGCCTGGGATCCTTAAAATGAAAGAATTGCACGTGCTTTTTGTAACAGCGCTGTCTAGCAAAAGCTGGCTGCCAAATCACTTTCTTGAGGCTTAATTCTAAACAACTGAAAGCGTAGCAAGTGTTGAGAAGTGCAGGAATTAAATATCTTTCCATATGAAAGCAATAGATCAGTCTTTCATTTGTGGTGTGGTTTTGTTTCTTTTTTTTTTTTTTTTGGAGGGAAGCATATGTGTTCTGGAGGAAGGAATGTATTTGTTATACATGCAGGGTTTTTTCAGATGTTTTGTTCAAGGCTATATTAAGACACTAGTAGCTGGAAGAAAGAAGAGAATGAAAATCCATCAGTGTTCTTTGGTCTTGAAGACTGTCTTGGAAATATTTATGATGTTTTGGCTGGCAATGAAAGTTTAAAAGAATACACAGTGTATTTTTGGGAAGATACCTTGCATACAGACATGTTCTGTAGTAACTGTCTACTACTGTGACACAGCAATATTGAAGATTTTTTTAAATTTAGATAATTAAAGAATTGAGTACGGTAGAATTTTGTTTGCAGAGCATGATGCAAGTACCTTAGAGCTTAGAAATTCTTAAACATGACTGTAAGAATAAAGTTATCCCAGTACACATAAAGCAAAAGGAAAAAAAAAAATCAGATGGTATTCCTAAAGTTTGATGTATTTTTTTACTCAGCATTTTCAGCTGTCAAATGAACAGATGCTTCTTTTGATTATATATAAAGTGGATAAAGTATGATGTTCATGACAGAAGTGAGAAGGAGCAACAACTGTTGAAGAGCTAACTTGCAGAGAAAGTGGATAAACCTGTGAACTGGCAAAAAGAAAGATAAAACGGAGTTGGATGATGAACTGAGTGAAAAGTCATGTTGTGTGAGATCAAATAAGGAAAATGTAAACCACTGCAGTTAAATGTATAATCGTTATAGCTGGTTGTTAAATGATTCAAAGGGAGATTCAAAAGTAGCATTAAGGTGAATTTGAGTATTGAACATGTTGACTAACGCTTGTGAAAGCCAGTGCCTGCCTTTCTCTTTAAAGATGCCCAATGAGAAAAGATACCTAAGGCCCCTTACAAATAGGCAATTTGACAAAGGGATTTAAAATAGTTCATCAACTCTTAAAGGGGGGGAAGAAAAAAAGCTTGTGTATTACTAGATTTGGAAAAGTTAAAATATTTTACTGTTGGTTTAAATTTTTTTTTTTTTAATTCCTGTTTCTGTTAATTTATATTTGGAAATAGCTTTCTGTAAAAGTATAAACAGATCCCCTAGATTACTTTTGCTTTTGAGTCATAAAGCCTGTGACCCCAGGTGAGGTCCTTTTCTGTCAGACTACACTTTTATACATAGTTAAACTGACAATTTTTAAGAAAAGAAAAAAGAAAACAACCCACAACCACACAAAAATTCTTATGTGATAATATAATGCACTGTAATCCACATGGAAAAATTATCATTGACATCCTATTAAAGTTACTTCCCAGCAACTTGGGAAATCACTCAGTCCAACAGCTATTGCTGAAAATGACTATTTTAGAAACTTTCAACTATGCTAATTAGCACAGATTATTTGTATTTAGATTGGCATTTAATACAAACAGAAACAACAAAAAAAACCCCAACAGACTTGCAGTTCAGCAGCAGTGCTAGCTATATGCCTGTCTGCTCGGGACTCAGCTGGGGGGGGAAGTGTGTTTCACAGAATCATAGAATGTTTTGGGTTGGAAGGGACCCCTAGAGGTCATCTAGTCCAACCCCCTCGCAGTGAGCAGGGACACTGCTAACTACATCAGGTTGCTCAGAGCCCCATCCAACCTGGCCTGGAATGTTTCCAGGGATGTTTGAAGATGTATGACTTAACTCAGGTGCATGCTTATGCTTTTGAGAATAATACTTTCTTTTCAAGTAGTGGTTTTCTTGAGTTTATCTGCTCTAACCTGGTTCTCGGTACTTATGTACAATGTTGATTCTTCTTGACTTAACAAGTTTGAGGGCAATACAGGTCCATGTGAGAAGCGGGCCTGTGAAGCACGCTTCAGAAAAGGCAGCTTGGTGCTCTTCAACTATGTAAATAAAAATGGTTTGTTGCTTTAGCTGTGACACCATGTTATGGCTTCATTTTCTACTGTCTGTCAGTACAAAGAAGTATTTCCTGAAGTCTTCAGTTTTGAAGATGTTAGGTCTTCACTGGTAAGTGTGGCTTCAGTGGTCAGGTCATAGCCTGGTAGAAAAGAAATAGGGGCTGCATCATCTTACTCGGTTCTTGTGTTCTTGGCCATAGACCGTGCTCTTGATTTCCTCTGTTAATTCTCCATGTTTCTGATGTTTGTCCTTTCTCTCATGGCTATATTATAAGGTGCAAAGTGGAAATAGAGCACATTGCTAGATCTGATGGTTTTCTATTTTGCTCCCATTTGTTTTAGGCCAGCTTCTTCCCTCTCTTTCTAACTTCAGTTTTCCTTTTAGAAAGTGCAACACGGGGAGTGCCGAGGAAATGGCACTCTTGTTTTGAGTACCCTGCTGTGTAGGTACTTCTCGAATTGATGTTCTTCAAATGAAAAACATGCTGCTAACATGCACATAGCTTACTTAGATTTAAGATTGGGTTTTAATACTATGCTGTCATCGTCATTAAAAGACGTGGGCTGTTCTTGCTTGAAGTTAAACTAAATGTTGCTAAAGACTTGAGACGTGACTTAAAAACTGAAGGTGCTACAGATTAATTAAGTAATCTGCATCTCTTAATGTCACTCGGGACGTGGTTTTCAGATAAGAATGCTTGTGCGGTTCGTAACGGTGTGCTCGAATCCAATTAGTGAGTTTCTTTGGAAGGAGCAGGAGTGGTAAAAACAGAAGTAAAGTACAGATATTCTCAGTGTTGACGGTCGAAATGGCACAAGACTTCTGCTGCAGCTCTTTCTGGTAACCCAAAATTGTTTTATTTTCCTGTCTAAACATTATTTGAACTTATCCAAGAAGAGTCTAAGCCTATGAAAAAGATTTTGTATTACTCAAGGAGCAAGATCTGAATCTACAGTCAAATGAATTGGGCCTGGATGACCAAGTCCTCATCCAGCTCCTCTACAGGATGAAGAGAGGGGAAAAGAAACTCTTTGTCCCTTTTACTGAGAATTTATTGTTGTGCCAGGAGGAGGCATGTAAGGGGCAGTGTGTAGCAGCAGCAGATAAAGTTGAGTAGCACATCTGATGTAGGTTTACCATCTGCAAATGGATCCAATGCTGTCTGACCTTGTGGGAAGGCATACTGATGTTGAAAGGCAAATTTCTGTCTTGAAGAAAGGGAGAAGGAGGTGACTAGAATTGGGAAAGGAAGCCTTATTTATAGAGGGGAAGATGCTACAGTTCTCTTCTGCAAGAGGAAAGTAATGGATTTGACAAAATACAATATATTTACTGTAGCTTGACATTGTTTTAATCACTTCCAATTATGTTTCAATGGATTTGTTCTCTTACCAAATGGATAGATATACGCTTTTTAAAAAGTGAAGTAAATGAAATGGAGCATTCTAATAATGCATATATTTGCAGGTGGAAATTAGAATAGTGTGACAGAATTGTTCTGTAAACGATTGAACTGTGGCTTTCTTCCATAATTTTGAGCATTTTTGCCTCTTTGATGTTTTTCATACTGAAAATTTGGTAGTGCTATGAGTAACTTAAATCAAATGTCTTAAACTATGTTCTCTCTCTCTCTCTTTTTTTTTTTTTTTTTTTTTTTTTTAATTCCAGCCCTGATGATATTGGTACCTGTTGGTATATCCTGCTGTCTGGTTCAGTCTTCATTAAAGAATCTATGTTTCTTCCAAGGAGCAGGTATGTCAGCTATGAATGCATTGTATTCTGTATCTTAAACAAAATCATGATGTGCAGAGAATTTTTAGAATTAAAAGGCAATGTTTTATGCTTAATGAAACACAGAAGCACAATTATAAGTGCATACTCTTACCTTTACTAGCTGTGGTAGTTGTTTTATGCCTGTAGCTGGAATTGAAAGCCCATCATTGCAGACAGTGTACAAGCACCCAAAGTGTCATGCAAATGCTGTCAAGTCAAAAACAAAACTACCAAAACCCAGCCAAATGGAGTGAAGTACCGAGCAGTCTGTTCCTGTGAGTAATCAAACTTTAAATCATAGGATGCTCTAGAGCTTATGATGCTTTCCTGAGGTTTTTAGTTACTGTGCACAAGTCTTCAGTGCATGTTTTAACATATACTCAGATAATGTTAACTGCCAGTTTTGCTACTTCTGTTTAAGGTTGTGCTTCATGTAAATGAATTTGCAGTAAAAAGGGATATTTTACATCGGAAAAGATAAGTTTTGTGTGAGACACTCAAAACTTATATCGATACAGTAAAAATTAAATTATTTTGAGCTATGGAAAAAATGCAAATGACTGCAAGGATTTTAGACTAGTGTGGCTGAGCTTGGTCATTTTGGTGGAAGCAGAGCAGAATCGCTTAAAAATGCTGGTTATATGCACATTCATTCAGGCTAGTATAAAAGGCTCCTTTGAAGTAAATAGCATATAATAAAATCTGTGAAAGGCGAAATGAAAGAATGACCCGTCTCATGGTATGATGAAGAATGAAAGCACTAGAAGCTTCCTACAGTTTAAACAGTGGGAAACCTGTGTTGGCTGGCATATGAACAATTAAATGTTCAAAGCTGCCTTTCAATGGGAGAGCAATGCTGGGCTTGAGACTTCCATTTGATGATGGTGGCATGTTCTCGATGTAAGCAAGTGTCTTGCATATGTAAGAGGACAGGCACTGCTGATAAAATGATATATTTGATGTGCCATCAAACAGTACTGTCTATGATAAAGGTGCAAAACTGGTAATTGTAAAAAATAACACAACAACAGATTATAGGAGCCCTGCTGCTGGCAGATGGAAGAAAATTGTCCCATATGTCATCCATGAACAAGCAATGCCAGAAAAAAAGCTGGCAGAAAGTGCTACCTATAGATGCCAGAAGAAAGGATATATGATATCTGAATTAATGTAGGTTGGCTGTATATAGCCTGTGGCAAGAAACTTCTGTTCCTTTGAATTACAGCAGTGCTTGTGCTCCAGACATTGTTTGACACTTGATGAGAGATGAGATTTAATAAGGTAAACAATGAGCTTCCGATTCTTCCTGGAAGAATGGACAGAAGATTACAGGTCCCATGACTCTAAGTAGAGCATTTATGGGTTGTTCACCTGGAGAAACTCAGAAATGACATCTGGGACGGTGTCTGAGATCTTGGTTGAATTTCAAGTGTGGAACTTGGAATTGGAAGGAGTTTCATAGCTGTGAATGGAGTCAAGTAGCTGCCAAAGCTGGTGTCTTGGGAAGCAAATTCAAGAGAGATGGTTTGTTAATTAAGAAAGACAACACAAGTCCATGAAACCAAAATTAAGAAACTTTAATGGTATAAGATAGAAAGTATTTCTGGAGAGAAAAAACCAGAGTCATTCTAGTGACAGACTTTGTGCTTGGAACCTATAGTTATTAGGAGGATAGAGGAGGGCCTTGTTTAAACTTTAGGAGAAGGCTAATCAGGATGTTTTCTTTGTAAATGAGTAAGCTGCAATACCTGGGCCTCAGGCTCATCCATGAATAAGAAACTTGGGGAAAAGTGAGAGGGCACCCAGAGTGAATTTCTGATTTGGAATACTGTTGGGAAATAAGTGATTTCATTTATTTATTTATTTATTTAGGGTTTTTTTTTTTTTTTTTTTTTTTTTAAGTGAAGGCTTGAGAAGGAAACTTAAGTTTTCACCTTTACTTATGTTTCCAGTGAATTGCTCACAAGGGAAGAATTTAACTGCTCAGATACACAGACCGGGCAGAAGAGACCAATTACCAGCAATACTAGAGTAAAATGTTAGTGCTCTTAAAAAAAAAAAAAAAATAAAAAAAATAAAAAAAAAAGCGAGACCTTCTCAAAAAGCCGCTGTCCAAAAGGAACTGATAGGGCGGTATTCTGAAATCTAAAGAGTAGAGTCAAAAGTGGGCAAAAGGCAGTTGCTGGATAACCATCTGCTTAAACTGACTATTTGCATATACAGGGAATAATAATTTTAAGACCCTTTTTGAGCATTGCATAATTTGGGAGTATTGATGTCTTATTGCTGTTCAGATGAATTTGTTACGCTTTAGCAAATGGAGCATGTCCTGATGCATAATTGACGTCAGGTAAAAGGAAGAGACCTAAACATTGCCAGATAAAGATCATCTAATTTTGATCTTGTTTGACGAAAACATTATAATTTGAGTAAACTTATTGTAAATTCATATTTAGACTATTTTAGTGGTTTTTTCCAAGTTTCATCCATTTTATCTCTGCCCATCTAGAAAGCCACTAGCAAATAATTTTGCAACATGTGAAGCTTGTGGGAAAGATAGCGGGATGGAGAAGTCTGTGTAGGAGCAGAAAGTAAGAAAGAAGTATGTTCCTCTCCTCAAACCTGGGTGATGTAGAAAATTCTCATTTCCCTAACTTACTTTTCCCAGAGCTCAGTGATTGCTACGTACTATCCGCCAGCCCACCCCCCCCGCCCCCATCTCATCATTCAAAAACCTCATTTTTTTTCCTACCTGAAAATTATTCTCTCTTCTTTGACAGCTTAACCCAGCGTGCCCCATGCACCTGCAGTAAACCCCCTTGCACAGGTTCCCTGGGCCACATCCTGCGCTCCCAGTGGGACCTCCTGAGCTGCCTGTGCTGCTCAGACTGGGGGCTTCCCCTTGCCCCTCCTGCTGGTTTTGTTGAGCTCGGCTTCATTAAATGATGGCTGGGCAGTAGCTAGCCAAATTTAAAATAAAATACATGTTTCCTCCCGAGAGTTTCAAGAGCATTAGCTATTCTTTGTTGGATTTCATTCTTAAAATGTATGTCTGTACACCCTAGGGTGAAAGTAGTACATAGTTAGGGTAACTCAGCCTTGCCCTAGAGAATATATTTGCCTGCAGCCTTGGAGGTGTTTTCTCAGTCCTGTGCTGAATTCCATCCTACTCTTAACTTTGAGGCAAAGTTACAACTTACAGGCATTCAAGCCTGTAAGGAATAGGATGGTGTGCTTATCTTCAGATTTATAGCTGAAACTTGGAAGTACCTTAGTGCATTTGACTGCATGTGCTCAGCATATTAGTTGGGGCCCGTATTAGCTAGTTTAGTTGCATTAATTTCAGATATAGCATCCTCAGGCTGGTTGGTGGATAACACTGGAAATGTCGTTTTGTTGCCTATTTTATGTCAGGTAAACTTTTTTTTTCCTTCCAGATCATTGTTTCCATGTTTTTGATTTCTGGTGTTAGATACCGTTTAAAATTCTTTGGGGGAGAGGGAGTGATGACTAGGGTTGGCAGACAGATAATATATAGTTGGTGAGAATAATGTCTTAATAAATAGTAAGAAAAAAATCAAGCAGTCTCAAAGCATAAGAAATGACACCCCACCCCCCGCTTTCCCACTCAAGCCACGAATAAATAATAGTATAGCAGTCCAAAAATAAGCAGCTTTGTAATGCACTATATATGGTCAAATAGCTGCTAGTGGAAATATTTTGAAATGACTGGCATAGCTGCCAGTTTTGCTAAAGTTATAAAATTTACTGAGTGACTTGTAAAACTCCTTGTAACTAGCTACTTAACAAGTCTTTAATTCAAAATTTTAAAAAAATTGTTCAAGATGGAATATTGGCATATATGAAGTTCTAAATCAAGTAACTTGTTTGGGAAATTTTAACAACTAAACCATGTCTGGTTTGTGAAAATAGCATGACTATTGTTTTATTTCCGTATTGTAACACAGTTTAGCTTGTATTTGTTCAAATGCCAAGCTATCAGCTAGCAAATAGTGTTCATAAGATAAGGCTGGATTTTATGCAGTTAACTTATTTTGGGAAAATTTACAATTCAGAGTTTTAAAGAATTTTGACCTGAATAATTAAAGCTGCCATATTTTTGGTGACATAAAGTAAAGCTTAATCTTGTTCTCCTATTTAATTTCTGTAAATTGCAACAATGAAATTTATTCTGACAGCTTAATGAGAGGAAGATTTTTTTTTTTTCCCAACCTTCATATTTTACTATTAACAGTTTTCATACTTATTCCTCTTTTTTAACATATCGGGCACATATTGCAGTCAAACTAAACATTCCTTAATTCCCCCCTCCCACCACAACCACCAAACTAGCACAAATTAACACTTGGTCCCCTCACAGTTTCCCCTGAGCATCTGTACCCTGAAGCAGTTCACATGGTAGAATGAGGTTTATGTATGAAGTCCAGAAAATAAATGAGCAGAAAATACAGTTCCCTGAAGGTTGTCCTGGCTCTCCTGTGTTTTCACGTGGTTGCTGACAGCAGTAATGTGACAGTCCCTCAAAATAACTTTTGGAATAGCCTCCAGCATCGCTAGGTCTGCTCCGTGCTCTCACCACATTTGCTCAGCTGCTCAGACTTCCCGTGTGGTTTTTGTTCCAGGACTTTGCTTCTAGTGTAAATTTTACTGGGGTCTTTCATCTTATTTGTCTTGGAGCTGCGCTACAAAAAGGTCTCCTAGATCTCCCACAGCTAACCTCGTGCTTGCCTGTGGCCTCCATGACCGGAGAATGCAACTAACTCTTAGCAGCAACAAAATACCAAATTGAATTGCTGTTTCTCAGGCCAGTAGGCTCTGGTGCTTGGGTTTTTCTGCTTTTCTCCTAGAATTCTTCCGAGGTCATCTGGGTGGTGTGTGCTGTGCTGCTCAGGCACACTGTGAGGCTGGCTTTGCCACGAGCAAGCCCGGCTTTGCTCTTGTTTTTAACCACTCACTCA